TTCCCAAAATTCCCCTTTTTCATGTCAAAACAATTTTTTTTTTTCCCATTTTCATGCCCAATGTTAGTGCATGGATGCGTCTATGCCATGTTCATGTTCATCATCCCACAACTAGCTCAATTTTAATTAACAAAGCATGATTCACAAGAATTTCTAAGGAAATTACAACATACTTTCACACAATAAAAATCTAGCATGATAGGCATATGAAAATCACACTTAGGCATGTTCTTCACATAGATCATTTAATACACATAATTACACAATTAATATATATGCACAACAACCAAACAATTTACTAGATTCTATACAAATTAATCATGCAAAACAACAATTTAAGATGAGTTAACTCACTAAAGCACAAGATTGTATAGATTAAGAACCCCTACCTCAAATGTGATGCAAAATTTTCAAATGGGTCTCAAATTTTGAAAATACTAGGGAACACCAAAACTAAAATTGCTGGTATGGATTCGAAGGCCTGGTCGTGGGCTTCGATTTGCCGCAAACGGCTTCCAAAAACTCCAAGTATTGTGGGAGAAATTTAGGCTTGAAGTTTGGTACAAAATGAAAAAGAAAATGCAGAAGAAAAGGGAGGCAGAGAGAGTTACGGGAGAGTGAGAGAGATTTGAGAGACCAAGTGGTCTTTAGACCACAATTGTAAGTGGGTGATGGGTCCCACCATCATTTTTGACTTTTCCTTTTTCTTTGACTAATAATATATACATATATTTGAAACATTACAATTTTACACGATTCAAGCATGAATTTCATCTACCTAGTTTAGGAATTTGAAAGTGTGCTAGTACGTTACGAAAGATGGAGAACTTTGCAAGGACTACAAACCAGTGGGATTTATATTCAGTTTGGTGCACATACACTATTGGGGCCGAACCTAGGACTTTGGTTTCAACTTAAGGTAGGGGTGTCTAAACCATGATTTCCTTGGGTATTGTGAGTTTCTATGTACTTTCTATGTAAATCTTGTGATATAGCATGTTAACTTGTGTTTTATCATATCAAACTGCCCTAGTTAGCTTACCATGTATCTTGCCATTACTTGATTGTTTGAGTAAAAAAATTTGGTGAATTCATGAGCTTTTCGTGGTGAATTTGGTTTAGCATGCCTTCCTATTTTTCAATGTACCAAATTGAATGTAAACATGCCCTTGTTTTGTGATTTCACTCTTGTGTTCATGATAAAATTAGGGTATTCATTAAATTCCCCTTGATGCTTAATTCGATAGGTTAATATGTTTAATATAATTATTACTTTGTTAATAAATTACTAGCATGGGATTATGTTGTATAGGTGTTGGGAAGAAAACATCTTTCATTGTAACGGCTAAACGATTAATCTTGTGGTAAATTGAAGTCTGGACTGGTTATGAGTATTCATCACTCATGCATAATGGTGTGTGTGTGTGATGGTTTGTGTGCGGTTGAAGAATTTTCAAAGTTTGTAAAAAAAGGTTTTGCCAAAAACAGAAGACGGGCGATTATCTTGTTTCCTGTTGTATTAGCCAACATAGAGGGTTAAGTTAACTAGGCTCCCAAATGGTGTTGGGCGGTTGAACTATGCCAGAGATAGTACTCAATTTTCCTTCTGGTGACGGGCGGTTGTCCTGTGCCGGGTTGTGTTAACGGGTTTTCAATGTGGGTGAGTTGTGCGTAAGTGTGTTGAATGTGAGAGTTAGTTCATGGCACGAAGCGTACTCTTTTGTCATGATCACTTGTTCATTCATACATACAATATCGCATGTCTTTGATGAAATTTTGTTTGTCGCTTCAAAGCATGATCCCCAATCCAATATTCCTCCTTTTCGTTGTTTTGGGGTTACGAGTTTTGTGATAAGCTAGGGATATAAGATTTCGTTATAAAGTTCTCTCCCTCTCTCTGTTGAAAGCGGGCCAAAGCCTGAAGAGGTACAACTCTTTGGGTATCGTTGTAAGTCTCTTTCTAACCACAACTGGAGCTATCTATGGATCTCTGACCCCTGGAAGACTGCGATCAATTTGTTAAGACATTTTACATACTGGAATATATGTTTCACCTAGATTTTCATCTGAAATGAACTGTTTGTCATCTCTAGGTACTACTACAAGTTCATTACTAATGGACAATGGAAGCATTCAACATCTTCACCAACTGAAAGGGATGAAAGGGGAATTGTTAACAATGTAATAGGAGGTATATTTTAGCCGTCTCTATTAGGCAAGTGTTGCTCAGCCCTTAACAATTTTAGGTAATGAGAAGGATGAGAAGGAAGTGGAGGCAAATCCACAACAAGTTTAAAGACGCGTGGCGTAGCTTTTGGATATCGTTTTGCCATATCTAGCTTGACTAATTAGCTATTTTGTCAAATCATCTCATGTGTAAAGCAATGTATGACTTTATGTAAATTTGTGCTAGGAAGGGACTATGTTGCCGTAATTCTAGTCATTTTGGAGAAACCTATGTAACTTGACATGTATGTTTTATATGCTTTGCATTCTTATTATTTTGGGGCCACTAGTATGTAATTCGATTCAAAGCATGTGTGTCTTGATCACATATAACTTGGCTTGTATTTTGATACTCCTCTCGTCTTGAAGCACTTTAGGGCATGTACCTATACTTTGTGCCATGTAGAATTTAATGTAAATGTGATTATTCAGCTATTAAAATTGGAGTGGCGCATTTCCAGCTTTCTTATCAAATTCTGTTTTCGTTTTTCTTTGATGCGAATTTTTTATCAAGAGCTGTAGTGTTCCAGTTGCTACAAAATTTTTTATCTCAGGTTTTAATCTACAATCTTGCTGTAAAATTTTGTTAGTTTTGGACAAGTACATATTTTTATAAAAAATCGACAATAGCTGCTGTCCAGCCTTGTGTCACTATTCGTGAGTAAATTTTTATGAAATTACTTGGCCGAATTCCCGACATCAAAACAGTACAAAATTGTCTACTTTGATACTTCCAAGAGTCAGCTTTCAAAAAAATGTAGTTTGCCATATATTAATGTCAAGATGAATTTTTTATAAATTTTTATTTCAAGTTGCCCTGGTTTCTCTCTCCTCTACGGACTGCTGATTTGTTTCTAAAAACTGTTCTCATTTGAAAACATTCTACTTCCAAGAGTTACTTGGTCACCTTGCATTATGAGTATAGTTTCTAAATCATTTTGGTTTGTTCTGTTTTGATTTAAAATAAATTTTCTACGAATTTGAGTATGCACTGTGCAAATTGGGTTGAGCTTTCTCCAACACCCACTTGCCAAGAAAGGGTTGTCATTGGATTTGTCTGCAACCATGTTATCTTTTGATAGTATTCGCTACACAACTAGCTTCAGAGTGTTTAGAATCCATAAATTCGAACCACCAAGTTCGACCAATCTCAAATTGGAGATATATTCTCTTCAGATACATGAAAATGGACTGAAACAAATATATCTACCCGAGGGCTTAACTTTGTTATGTCCATATGTCCTCGTTCCAATGTTGTGGTTTGCAATGCAATACTCCGTTGGATGCACCTTTATCGTGGCAAGATTTTCGCCTACGATCCATTCAACACAACACTGATCAATTTCGTACCATAAGATGGCCCAAGGGCAGACACCACAATGCCTTTGAGGATCTCTTAGGAGGGTACCAAGGACACCTCAGGTTCATTCAATATGAAATTCCCACACTCAACATTTGGGAACTTAAGGACCCCAATGGACTTGAATTGACCAACTTGTAGATGAGCATGTGGACCATGACAGAGATGTGAGAAGTGGACAATTTCAAATTGTAGAAGAAAACGTCAACAGTCGTCCTCTTGGATCACCAGAGGTAGTTAATGAAGAAACATGTCAAGGTCAAGGGGAGGGAGCAACTACACAAGCTCGAGGCGAGGTGAGTCCGGCCTCCCTCTGTACTCAAGTTTATCTACTTCAGTTGAAAACTAATCAGTTATGTGACGAGGAATACCCTTGACCCAATGAACTTGCAATCATTCTTGAGTAGTCACCCTTTTTCATGCTGAAACCTGTCAGTGTTTAAACAACAATTTGTTAAGGGTAGCAAGAGAGATAGAAGACACGACTTTTGACACAGTAGTGTAGAGACTGGACTAGACCATAAATCCTACCATTCTGCGCTTTTCTCACAATTTTAATGCTACGACTACGCTTTTGATGGTGCAAATGAATTGTTGTCGTTGAGTAATGATATAACAATATTCTTTTAATCAAGTGTGCCGTATTTCCATGAATCCTTAAGTGCATGAGAGCTTATTAACCACAAATAATTTAAATTTGGAGAAAGTATGCAATATATTTTGACACTAGGTTTCTTCTCAAATTGAGCGGGACGTGTAAAATGACTTATCTAAAATTGATGAATAAATTATTTTTATTAAATTTTACTTTGTAATACGACAAGCAAACATAAAAAAATATCCAAATAAGCGTTAGTGTAGTAGCATCTTATTGCACCCTTTGCTTAAGAAAAAAATAAAATAAAAATAAATAAATTTTGTTGAAGGGTCCTACCATTATAACGTATCCTACCAAACATGCCAATATTGAATAGTCTAACCAGTCGTTGGAATCTCAAAATAAATTATTTATTTATTTTTGTATAAGAGTAGTATTATGGAATGGGCTGATAGGAAACGAAAGAGTAATACTAAAAATTGATTACATATGGACTGGGCCGATAAGAATAGTAAAAAAAAAAAAAAAAAAAGGGACCTGGGCTACATCTTTTATTATTATTGATTAAAGAAAACTTCAACAAATACCACAAAGGGGGTGTAGCTCATATGGTAGAGCGCTCGCTTCGCATGCGAGAGGCACGGGGTTCGATTCCCCGCACCTCCAATTGGGTGTTTTTTGGCTCCCCCACCGTTCGCTCCTTCTCTTTTTCTTCTGCCGGAGTTGGACGGCCAAGATTGACGTGTCCATTTATATCACAATGCATGAGTTACACACAAACACCGAACTTCCTCCCCTCCTTATCAACCTCTCGTTCCTAATCTTCATCGCCAATATATAGAGAGTGGATTATCATCACTACTCTGGTTCAGAGAAGCTCCCCAGCCAATCCGTTCAAGAAGACATAGATGAATCTCAACTTAGGTTATCCTTGGCTCTGTCTTCCCTCTCCACACAAATTTTCAAACAACGCTGCTCTCTTGTATCTCATATCAAGTACTACTCACGAATCGTCTTCGTTGAGAAACCATACATTTTCGACCCTCTCAGTGTCCAAGAGCTTCTTCAAGTACTCCAGAGCTTCACTGAGCGAGAGCGAGAATGAGGTCGCTGCCGAAAGCTCTGTTTCTTTGGATTTGTCAGGCGAGGAGTGGCTTAATTGTGTATCGATTGCGAAGGATGCAAATGAAGCCTTGAACATGATCGCTGAAAAGTCTCAGAGAAGTGGTGGTGTTGTGAGTATTGATGACTGTTGTTCGATCATATCTGCGGCGCTTGATCGGAACAACGCCGACTTGGCGTTGTCAATTTTCTCTGCCATGCGTTCTAGCTTCGATACAGGTATATACATTCAGACAGTATTAAATACAATCTCATATATATATGTGTGTGTGTGTGTGTTTGTGTTTTTATTTTTATTTTTATTTTTTATTTTATTTTATATTTATGTGTGTGGTGCTCAGAGTTGTTCTTTACCAATTTTGTAGCGAAAAACAAGAGAATACCTAGTAGATTGAAGATTAAAGTTGCCACAAATTAAAATTTTGATTCGGTGAAACTCAAGTATTTAGATAAGATAATGTATTATGCTCTGATCTGTACTGTCAATAGCAAAACCCATATATGTATCTGTGGTGCTTAGAGTTGTTCTGTAAGTGAACAACAAAAAGGGCAAGCAGTTTGAAGCTTAAAGTTCACAAATTGAAACGAGAGTATTTATAGAAGGATAATATGTTATGCATTGATCTGTGCTGTGTTAATTGGTAATGTATAGCTTATAAATTTGGCATTATACTGAAATTCAAACAAAGTGACTCAAAGGCTTGTTAAAACAGTGATTGCTCATTAGTTCTGAAATTGAGGCTTTTGTACACGAGTATTTGAAGTCTTTACTGATTTGAATTTTAAATTATTAGCTCTTGTTGCTATTTTAAATATGAGTGCTCAATTATTTGATCTTAATCTTTCCGTGTTGTATTTAAAGTATAATATTTAATGATTCAGTATTTGATCTAGGGGCAGGTGTTAGTGAAAAAGGTCCATCAGTTGAGAGATGGAAGTGGTCTCGACCGGATGTACATACTTACACATTGTTAGTTCGGGGTCTTGCAGCATCACTGAGGGTTTCAGATGCTCTTAGGATGATTGCCAGTGTATGTCGAGTGGGAGTGTCTCCAAGTGAGGAGGTATGGACATGGTCGTTTTTCAATTGCCTTTTTCCGTTGGCATTTTTCTTAATTATTAAATATATCTCATTTCAAGGATTTAAATGGGGAGTGAATTATACTATTGTGCTCTCTCCCTCCCTCTCTATCTCTCCCTCTCACTCACTCACTCATTTACAATGCCTTTAAATTATAACTTTAAAAAAATAAAGAACTTTGAATACTCAGGGACAGTGCTAATTTTGGAAGTCAGTAAAATGTTGAACAAAAGATCAAACCTAAAGAGGCCCGCCATACTATCTCTAATGGTATCTAATAGAAATATGAGGAGAAAAAAAATATATCAAAGCTTTTTCCTAATAATTTGTGGAGCACAAAATGAATCATAGTATGCCATTTTAAGCCTCTCAGAAGCCAAAAGCATGAGATTAGTAATATTTTTACTAGTTTTAGGCTTTTAGCAACTACTTTAGGCTTCCTTTTCCCTCCAAAGTGATCTTGAGCAATCCTTATGTAGTACTGAACTAATTATTCATTTCATTCATGTTTAGCTTATTGCCAAGGACTATAATGTAGCCATCATGTATGTGGTTATAATATTATAAACCTAACTATGATTTATTTTGGATGTTCATTCAGGTCCCTTTTGGTAAGCTCGTTAGGTGTCCAACTTGTATGGTAGCTGTTGCAGTTGCACAACCTCAACATGGTATTCAGGCATGTGACTAAAAACTTTAAATTTTTTTATGTATCTTTTGGTTTTACTTTGTCTTTGGGAGAATACATAGGCTTTAATTGTGGAAAATTTTATGCTACTCATGCCACATATGTGATGCACACGTGTCAGATCTATCATCTGGTTGGTTCACTTGGGCATCTTCACGAATAAACAAACAATTTTTTTCTCACTTCTGGCTTATACTGTGCATATAAAATTAGATTCCTTTTGGATCAGTTGTCAACTTTTCTAGCTGACAATGTAGTATGCTAGATGATTAGGAAAGCCACATGAAATGTGAAGTTCCCATGCATCAACTGGCACAAGCATGGCAGGGACACCATGGACGTTGTTACATTTTCTTGATAAAAAATTTTCATCTACTATAATCTCTAATCATTGTAGGAAAATGTACCTCATGAATCGGTTTTTCATGATATGACAATAAATTATGTCCAACCAGAATCTTCCACATGTTTCCTCAACATTGAGAACTTGCTGGAATATACATATTATTTCATGATAAAAGTGAATTTTGGGATTCGGAGATTGGCCCCTTTCAACAGGGCCCTTCTTGGCAAGTGGCTTTGGAGGTTTGGCAGTGAAAGACATAGACTTTGGAGGAAGATCGTTGTTTGTCGATTTGGGGAGGAGAGAGGGGGTTGGTATGCTAGACCGGTTAGATCTGCTATCGGCGTGGGTGTGTGGCATTCTATTGGGAAGGGATGGGATGAGTTTTCTAAGCATATTAGATTCAGAGTCCGAGAAGGTCGGAGTGTCCGATTTTGGGAGGATACTTGGTGCGAGGAACGTCCATTTTGTCGATGGTTTCCAAGGTTGTTCAGGATTGCTGTGGATTGCCATGCTTTGGTTGCCGACTGCTATTGCCTTGATAGCGGTAGGTTGTCTTGGGATGTTCGGTTCCGGTGAGCCTTTTAGGATTGGGAGCTGGATGATGTCACTGGCTTGTTGGACCTTTTGTATCGACAGGAGGTGAATGGCACTGGGGCGGACCTTTTGACTTAGGTGCCTTCTTCGCGGGAGACTTTTCAGGTCCGGTCATTCTTCTTCTGCCTTTCCGGTTTTCAGGCCCCTCTTATCCATAGAAAACGGTTTGGCATTCGAAGGCTCCTCTTAGGGTGGCTTTTTTTGCTTGGACTGCTGCTTGGGGCAAGATCCTGACTCTGGACAACTTGAGGAAGAGAAGACATGTCATTGTTAATCGGTGTTGTCTATGCATGACCGATGGAGAGTCTGTAGACCACCTTCTCTTGCACTGCCCAGTGACCCATGACTGTTGGAGCCTTATGTTGGGTCTCTTTGGCGTTCAGTGGGTTATGCCTCGGACCTCACGGGGTCTTATTGATATTTGGAGGGGGCAAAGGGTGGGGGCTAGTGTTCGCGACTTTTGGAGGGCGACTCCCCTTTGCATTTGGTGGTGCCTCTGGAAAGAACGCAATAGAAGATCCTTTGTTGGGGAGGAGTTACCCATTGGGGCTCTTAAGTATTCTATTACTTGTTCTCTCTTTAGTTGGGGTATGGGGAGAGATTGCTCTTATGCAGTGGAGTTTTTGGGGTCTTTGGATCCTTAGGTTTTCTCTTTTCTTTTGCTCTTGGTTCTTGACATCTTGTACAGCTCTTGGGACGCGTTCCTCTTTTGAACGCTTTCTAATACAATTTTACTTATAAAAAAAAATAATAAAATAAAAGTGAATTTTGGGGCTACTATATTCCCCCTCCGCCGCTGTGTGTGTGTGTAACGGGAAGGACTTTTTCAGCTTGCAAAGGTGAGTCTTTGGCAAGACTGACAATTAGTTTTTAGGATCTACAGAACTTGGTCTCGATTTATGAAGTTAAGTATATTTCACCAGGATCTTTGACTTATCACATGGGTTGTCCTGGACATTTTAACATTTGCTACTGTCTGATCAGATGTCTAGAATTTAGAAATGATTACATAATGATCTCTGGATAACCTCTTCACTTCATTTGCTGTATCTTATCATTGCATTTTTAACTTTACTACGACCATTTGTTTCACCCAGTTGGGCACATAATTTTGAACTGGACTGAGCAAGAGGGCTAAAAGACATTTTTAATTCCATATAAGGGGGAAATGTACTGGAGCCTCGAGCTTAGAGAGGCTGAAGCGGCAAATCGCTTCTACTGAGTTCCCCAACAGCAGCTTAGTTTAGTAGCTTAACTATTTCCACTGTCATACTAATATCTGATGTTTACGTTGTACTTCACAGATTGTGTCCTGTTCGAAGTGCCGGTACAAGTACGAGCTAGTTTCAGGAGACATTGTCAGTATTGAGTCAGAAGAGATCAGGTTAGTATTACTTCCCTTTAATTTATTTTTAGTTGAGTTTAACACTGTCAGTTGATCCCTCCCAATATGATTATGTTTATCTTGGTATGGTATTTCATTTGATTTGGGGTAGGATCACCTGTCATTGTGGTGGTGGTTGTTAGCGCTTGGTTGCCATTGATCATTCACTGATATTATGCTTCTTTTTTTCTTTTCTTTTTTTGTTTCCCTTCTTTCTTTGTCATTCCATTATCCTGTAAACCATATTTACAGTGGTAATATTCTTGGATAAAATTACCACTGTAAATGTGGTTTACAGTGGTAAAATTCTCGAGTAAAACTGAGGGTGGCCTTGGTGCAATTATAAGGTTGCTCTATTGTGACCTGGAGGTCATGGATTCGGAACAAGGAAACAACCTCTTCGCATGAGGAGATAAGGTTGTGTATATCTGACCCTCCTAGACCCTGCAATGGTGGGAGCATTGTGCATTGGGCTAGCTAGTGACGGACCTAGGGAATTGTATGAGAGGGGGTGGCTTTGAACAACAATAATATATAGTGGGGTATCATTAGAAATTTAGTGGGGGCATTTTAAGATTTTAAGGACATTTTTAAGATTTTCACAAAATTTATAGGTAATTTTGTAAATAAAAAAATTCAGTGGGGGCGGCTGCCCCCACTGAGCCCTTAATGGGAACGTAACTGAGGCTAGCCCTTTATTATTGAATAAAATCTTATTAAAACAATACAGCCTTTTTCCACTTCAGTGTTGTTCACACTAGTATAGTTGTGTATGGTGTTGATCCTGGGACATTCACTTTCTCTAAGGATTCCCTCCTGCCGAACGCAGCATGGATGTTCCTGCTTGGAAGAGGGGGCTAAGTTTCTTGCAAATAATGAAGCAAATCATTCCTGCTGCTGTTCACTCCATTGTGGTACATTTATTTCTTATTTTATTATGTTCTCAAAATGTGGGGACTTTAGATATTTATTCGGATGTTCTCTTGCTTTGACAATATGCTTCTCTTAATGAAATTTATGGCAATTAACTGTTAAAATCTTAATTAAATTATTATGTTACTGAATGTCACTTGATTAAAATTTTACCACAAAACATATCCTAAAAGATATTTCCTAGGATTTTTTTTTTCTTCTTATTTACATTTTCTTTTAAATCCTTTATCTTCCCTCATCAATGCCAATGTTTAATTATTATTATGACGACTCCTGCAATTCTGCCACAAGATTCATTTGTTAAAGAAAATTTTTGTTTAATGGTTACCAAGTCTTTCTTAACCCGTTAAACATTATTGTGAAGCTAGTGACTGATATGATCTGTCAGTTTGTTGCAGATGTTATAGCATATAACTTTGATCATCTAGCAAACTCGTTGTTCGTAGTTTAGTGTTTTAAATATCCATTTTCATTTTATGTTTCATCAGCTCTCTTATAACAAATCTATTAAGTAGTTCCTTGAAGGTGAAAAAAGATGATAGGTTTCCTTATAGGTGGGACCTCTAAAAGATACCTTTAGTTGCCAATGTACTGGCTTGAATGTGCACCTGCATCTTTCTTTTCGTAAGAACGATATTAATTGAGTCCTTAACCCTCACCCCTCTATTTTATATGTTATGCCAGCACTTTACCACTAAGCTACAAAATGACTTTGGCTACATTCATATTTCTGCTCTACATCTGTTCTTGTAGACCTTTATCTCCATGGATTTTTTATATAATTTTATCTACAATTCTGGTCTGCAGGTGCAGACTCCCTCTGGTATGGCAAGAACAAACAAGTTTGCTACTAGAACAGTTGATCTCCCTGCCCAAGAAGGAGAAAGAGTTACCATTGCTCTAGCAGCTCCATCAAATGTTTACAGAGAGGTGGGTCCCTTAAAATTTAGTCCTAAAGTACCCAACTTCTACCCTGGAGAGCCTATGTGTTTGACAAACCACAAAGATGGTCGAGAATCACTTTTACTAAGAGCTCCCACAGAAAATAGAGGCCCGTCCTTACTCAACCCCTCTATCTTATTTCCACTTCTTGCTCTACTGGCCACTGGGGATGCTGCCTCTGGAATTATTGATCCCAGCTTGCCTCAGTTCATTTCAGTTGCTGCTGTTTCCTCTCTTGCTCTTGGAGCCACTTTGAATAGTCTGGTTTTCCCCCAACTAAATCAGGTAAGTTAGTCCAATGATTTTTTAAAACTATACATGTGGCCCTTGTTTCCACCCCAAATCTTTCTTCTTATCGAGTTTCTTACCATTTTTAAGAATATTATTGGGCTATGTGCAAATCTGTGGCATTCAGATTTCAGTCATGGGCATACATCGCTTGTGCGCCCTTTGCACCTTTAGTGATTTCAGTGATATGCATTTCCAATGTCCATTGTGTATGCTGTATCGAATATCTAAACAAAGTAGTTTAGAAGTTTTTAGAGAAAGTTATAAAATTTATCGATATTCTAAGAGCTGGTGGCTAGCCATCTCCACTAGAGTTATTACAGTCCTCAAATTACTGCCTATTCTCGATGAGTGAGATATTATATAATTATTTATAGACATCAGGGTGATTTCTTTATGGTTTTTACTTTTTACGATGTAGATTTCTTTGGGGAATTCTCACAGAGAATATGGAAATCTATACTTAACTTATTTTTTCTGGTTCCAGCTTCCTCAGAAGTTGGTAGATGTAACTGCTATCAGGCAGCAACTTTTATCTCAATATGACATACTTCAATCTCGAATCAAGAATTTGAAAGAAGCTGCTGAAAATGAGGTATCCCCCTGCTGTTATTTTGACCTTGGTATAGCCAACTACTTTATAACTGATTTAATTTGAGCTACTTTATGTTGGGTTTGCCTCTAAGAGTTGTTGATTTTTTGTTGTGCAAGTATTACAATATTATAAATGAATACATCTATGAGGTGGTTGAAGGAGCACCAAATGGAGGTAAAATGAGTGAATCGATTAAGATGGTTGGGGCATGTACAAAGAAGACTGTTAATTGCACCGCTTAGGAAGAGTGACATGATCCACAATGAGGATAATGCTAAGGGGAAGGGGAGGATCAAAATTAACATGGGTAGAGTTAGCAAGGAAAGAAAATATGTGATTTGAGTGAGCCTATGGCCTTAGACAGAGTAATGGAAAAATAGGATTCATGTTGCTGATCCCATGTAATGGGAAAAGGCTTTGTCAAGTTGAGTTGAGCTTCAAGTGTTTAAAGCCCTTACAAGCTACATAACATAACCTGTTTTAGTTAAACTCATAAAATGTTAATTTTACAGATACATTTTTTGCTTTTAAATGATATAAGTGAAGGATATGTGCCATATATATACTACATTTTCTCTCTTTTCTCAAATAAACTTGATTGGACCTCTCTGTTAAGGAAGGTTTGAAAAACTGGAACTGATTTTGGGTGAATCAATTTATTGACTATTTAACAAAACAAGAGAAAGGGGAAACATCAAGTTTATTATTCAAGCACCTATTTAATTTTTCCTGCAAATTTATAGGAAAATCAATTTTCCATAAACAAATTAATTGCATTAAATTTTATCTTAAATAAGGAATTCAAGCTTTAAAAATTATAGTGTCTTAACCATGAATTTTCTCATGAAGCATTATTTTTATATAAACTATAGCACCTGGGAAAATTAGTTGCTTGAGTTCAAGCAATTTAATGTAAAATCTTCTATGTGGAAACCTTTTGTGATTTTGAAAATTTTAAATAAGTGAATATTTGAACCCCTTGGGGATCTTGTAAATGAAATTTATTCAGAGTTGTCTCACTTTCCTGAATTTGAAGTTGTAAATAATTCTGACCTTGCAAGTCATGTAATTCACGCTGTTTTGTCATATATCTTGTCGAAACTTGAATTTCTTAACCAATGGGCCATTAGCCCAATGGTATAACCTCTCCTCCCTTAAAGGGGAGGTGAGGGTTCAAGCTTCATAGTGGGCATATTGTAAAATGTGTGTGTGTACTTACCTAACAAAAACTAAAAATAAAAATAAAAATACAAAAATTTGAAGTTTCATAGCTAAAGTTGAATTTTCTTTATATAGGTTTGGATGCTGGCTCGAGTATGTCAGTTGGAGAATAAAATTGTTGCTGTTGGAGAACCTTCTTATCGGTGAACCTTCAAAAAATTTCTAATACTTGCTTAATACATTGAATAATTACCAAAGTTATAGTTATTATTTGTTTTAGCAGAAAAATGGATTACCTTTAAGTTCTCTTGGTCAAAGTCCACTCCTGTTAAATAATTATTTCTTTGTCTACAGTGCTCGGAGAAGTAGAATCAAAAGGGTGCGTGAAGGCCTTGAAAGTTCCCTCGAGAAACGGATTGAACTGATTGCCAGCTTTGCAAGAGTACGATTTTTACACCACAAAACCAAAAAGAAAACACACACACCCAATCAACTTTTTTGACTGCACGTTCATGAGCTAATGCATTATGATGCTACTTGTCAGATTTCTTCAATGATTGAAATTGAGGTAGAGATGGACTCTGATCTTCTTGCTGCTGAAGCGGCTAACAACGCGGTCTGCACCACTCTATTATATATTCTTCCCTGCCTTAATCCGACTTTAATATAGAAACTACTTAGCTTCTTTAGCGTTGATCTCTGATTGATCCACCTTTTTTTGCGCATTCACTACACTCCAAACACCCACACTCAAGCACATATATACACTCAGCATTTCTTAATGTGTTTGTTGGAATCTTTAACAATTGCAATGCCTCCCAACTTTTCACCAGAACTTAATTTGACTCAATTATTCCTGCAGGAAAGTATTGCTGATCAAATACAACAAATCATGGAGCTTGAAAATCTTGAAGAGGCATGCTCTTATAACCTTGAAATATTCTCTCTATGTTATACTAATATATGACTACTTGGAGATATGCGTGATCAGGATTCTTTAAACAAAACTAATTAACAATTTAAGTATAAAAGAAAGGGAGGGAAATTTTTTTTTTTTGCTTTCTTATAAGAAAACAGAAACTCAACCAACAATCTTCAGTTCCCTCTCAAGGGCTGTTCCGGTGGATGGGATGGGCGTATGGGTGGGGAATTATAGTTTAGGCAGTATCTCCCTTGAGGCGATCTTGAAGGATGAAATGTGAAAAATGTCTGGATTTTCCTCTCCCCGCGCTTTGGAATTTGAGCCCCCATTGTACATTAAGGGGGAAAAAAAGGATTATGACGTGTGGTTTTGGTTCTAATCATTCATCATTTCATGCAGAAATGGAGACTCCAAGCTGAGGCGAACGATGAGGTGGAAAGACTTCTCAATTCTGAACCCTTGCCAACAGAACAAGTGTTTGATGTATAAAAAGTAATTTCCTTTCTCCTATTAGCCTAATCTTCACATTGTTTTGCCTCAGTACTTCGTCTTTTCAATTTCTTATTTTTTTATTTTTATATTTATTGCCTTCAGTGTATCAATAGAAACAAACACGAGGCACTGGTGTAAGAGACATCGATTCCCTTTATACGTCCACAATGATGCTGCACGACAAAACGATCAACCACCAACATCATGCCTTGAGAGGAATCTTGAACTGTGCATGATCACGGAAAAGGAGAACGATAGCATCACAAAATAGGTGCTCGACGGTGTCATAGCCGAACACTTATCCTAGCTCACTGACTGACCTCAGAGTTCAGAAATCATCAGAAAACAGTGGCATTCTTTTGTAGATTAAAACCACATTATCAATTAAAATATGAAATTAATCACCTTTACTCAAATTTGTTGCTTCACAGGGAGTCATTGTATGGATGGAACTGTTAGTGTTCTTTTCGCAGATCATATGTATTATACTTGCAATGATGTTCATCTCATATATGTTTTTGCTCAAATCCATATTTCTCTGGCTTTGGCCCTTTTCAAATCAATCTATCCAACCTCTTGTACATTAGTTGATTCAATTCATGCTTATGTTTGGCGGCACCTTGGATTTAGGATTGTTGAAAATTGAGTACAAATTTTGAATTAAACCTTCTTGAGTTCCAAATTCAAGACACTGATTTGGTATTCCCAAACATAACATTAGTGTAATTAAATAGACAATGTTGGCTTCCCCACCCTGGCTAAGATTACTACAAAATTGAAGTTTTACTAATGGAATACAAAGATACAGACCTTTGAAAGTAAAACTTGCATTCCATTTGGCCAAGAGTCGGGATCTTTTAGGGTATAACACGTGTGGTCGCTCATACGTGCAAGTGATGAAATTCGTTCGATGTGGTACAACACGTGTTTCATGTTGGATCTGCTTTCGACAAAAAATACACACATACCCAATAACGACTACGAGGACCCATTGGACTTTCTTATTAATTTGGCTTTGTATGTACAAGCTGGAGTAGTTATAAAAAATGCCCCTCTCGAAACTTAAGAAATTCTCATAAAAAAAATAATAATAATAATCATATTCAAAAAGAAACTATTATTTACTCCGCATTCAAAAAGGAGGGCCCTTATGTGTATCCGGCTTGAGCCAAATAGGCCCAAATAACAAAATTCTATTATAAGGTTACCCATAGTAAACAAAGATAAAGTTTTTGGTGATTTCTGTCAAAGTTATGGAATAGTGGAGTAAGATATAGATTTTTCAAAAACATCAATTTTTTTTTTTTTTTTTTTTTGAAAGTTTAAAACATCAATTATTTTGATTGCATGAATATGATGGACTTTCTCGAAAAAAGGAAAAAAAAAAAAACCTCAATCACGGTATATAGCATAATGACACAAACTACTTTATAATGACACCACCTCTTAAAGTTAGAACCTTATATTTGTCATCAAAATTCTTTTCTTTTTTTTTTATAGAAAAAAAATAAAATTATTGTTTGGTTTGCAGCTCATGAAACAGCAAGAAAATTTAGAAAACACCTAAAAATCTACCTGGCACCTATTTTTAGAAAACACTTTTTTAAAACTGGAGTTGCAAACTCTGGCCTTTTTAGAGAACAGAGAAGAATGTCCTCTTTATAACATTATTCTCTTACTAAAATCTCCAAAACCCTAATGAAGTCGTTTATGTCGAAAAAAAATTGAAGCCCTACATCAAAAGTTTGCAAATCCAAGCCATTAATCTTGCTCAGATCTGTGGTTTTTATTGTATGCGTTGAAGTTTCTATGGTTGATGATCAACCCTATACATTGTTTGTTCTATGTGAATCTGATCACTGAACCAGTTTGAATCCACCATTTATATATCTTTATATATATATATATTTATGTTTATGCAATGAGGGTTTGAATGCAGCATATCCTCGAGAAAGAAGGCAATCAGTCAGATAACACCAGACATATGGAGGTAAATGCAGGCCTCTTCATCTTTTTTGTTGACAACAAACTTTTAACATGCTCTTCATGTTTTTGTTGAGTTTAGGTAAGTCTTTAAAAAAGTTTGAATTCAATTTAAAGCTATGTGTCACGTTCTTCCCATTTTTTTAATTATTATTTATTATTATTATTTTTTTATCCTGACAAATTAGGGGGGAGAGGAGCGGGACGCTCTGCCACTTAGGCCATGAGTTGCCCAATGTTCTTCCCACCTGATGAATTCTTTTATGACAGGTCCACATTATATACATACACATCTCTCAAATAATTTTTAGTTTGGATATTTTATTTTGACAGATAGCGGAATTGATTTACAAATTTGTCAAAGTTATTTATAAATTATTAAAACAAATATGGTAAAATTATTACTAGGGCTGCACACATTTTAATTTAGTATGATTTCATGTTAAATCATTGATTGGTAAAAAATTAGATAATTGTTGAACCGGTAGAGATATGGACAGGATAAATCTATTAATAAGGTGTTCGGACCAGTCTTTCAGAGACGGCACACTTAATAAGAATCATTAGACATGAGGACCAAACCGAACCACATTTCTAAAACTTAACCTCCAAAGAATAATGTAATAATACACTATTAAATTCCTTTCCAAATCACTAATAGTATCTTACTGCCAATGGTAAAACATATTAGAATAAATACTTGAATGAAAATCATTGGATATGTACTGATAAGCATTGCTAATATTAGGATATACAAGTCAAACTCATGTCAAACTGAAAATGTATGACATGGTAGAGTGGTGAGTCATCATAATTTTATAATCAAGGAAATGCCGGTGCAACTAAGCTTCTCTTTCTATATTTCAGGGAGGTAGGGCCCACAAAATCACGGAATCGTCGACTAGCAATGACGGTTTGACTCGTGACACGAGCACCATCAAAGAAGCACCTCACAACCAACAAAGGGTCGCCACGTGGCCCACCCCCTCCGCAAAATATCACTCCATACCAATTTCACCTTCCTCGCGTTTAGTAGTTGTAAGTATATAATAAACGCAACACTTCCATCAGAGAGTGCTCATTTCTCGATTCAGATCCAAAGTCTCAGTTCTCATTATATATATATATATATATATATATATACACACACGCATATATATAAATTATATATAGCTATATATATATCTGTATGTATGGCGAGGAACATATTGGTGACAGGTGGTGCTGGTTACATTGGAAGCCATACGGTGCTTCAGCTATTGCTGGGTGGATACAGAGTTGTTGTGATCGACAATCTCGATAACTCTTGTGATATCGCAATCAAGCGAGTTCAAGAACTCGCCGGCCCAGAGTATGCCTCAAACCTTTCCTTTCACAAGGTACATTATTTCTAGGGCATGAATATGATGCTCTCTGTATATATATATTCATGTGTGTGTATATATATTGTTTCTAAAATAAACTGATTATTTTTGGCGCTAATTTATATGTGGTCACTATTTTTGGTTTCAAAAGTACTTTAAGCTTTATCAATACTATATAGATATATATTCGATTGATTAGAAGTACTTTACCAATGCGTATCACTTGTATTGATCTGTATTATGGCTTAATCTGTAAAGTTCTTGTGTATTAATGGTTTAATTGTCTATATATACGTATGAATTCATCTATATGTACACAATGGTACTAAATATATTCGATTGATTAGAAGTGCTTTACCAATGCGTATCACTTGTATTGATCTGTATTATTGCTTCTTTTTTTCTTTTCTTTTTTCCTGTAAAATACTTTTGTTTTATTGGCTTAATAATCGGTTTAATTTTCTATGTATATATGTATGAATTCATCTATATAAACACATTGGTACTAAAATAAACTGATTATTAGGCGCTTGTTTATATTTGGTCACATTTTTACTTTCAAAAGTACTTTAAGCTTTGATTAGCAGTACATTACCAATATGTCTCATTTGTGTTGATCTCTATCATTGATTTTTTTTTTTTTTTTTCCTGTAAAATACTTGTTGTTTTTTAATGGTTTTATCATCGGCTTATAGATTGGATTTATCGATTCTGTTGCATATGATATTTGTTTTTGTAATTGGTGGGCTTGATTTCTGTAATTCTGGTTTGATCTGCAGATAGACCTCAGGGATAAGACGGCGCTTGGAAAGATTTTTGCTTCAACAAAGTAAGTTTTTAGTTGTATGCTGTAAAGATTATCGCTTTTGTAAGGTTTTTGTCACTTTGAATCTCTGAATAGAAGACAAAACTTGAAGTGATTGATCCCTTCAATTTACTTTCATAGTTTTTAATCATTTATAGATTTTAGTTTTATTAACCAATCTTATTCGTCATCATCATCTTTTTCTTAATTGTATGCATATCATTGGCCTTTAGCTTAACATATGATCCCAAGCTTCTGCTGCTCTTGTTTATTCTTTTTTGAACTGCAGATTTGATGCTGTCATCCATTTTGCTGGCCTAAAGGCAGTTGGTGAAAGCGTGGCAAAACCATTGCTGTACCATGATAACAACCTTATTGGTACAATTAATCTATTGGAAATTATGGTTGCCAATGAATGCAAAAAGGTTTTTTTTTTTTTTTTTTCTTTCATATTACTTCATTTTAGTTTTTTTTATTATTCTGAGTCTTTTTCACAATAGTAAGAAAATTTCATAACACTTGTTTAACTTTGTGCCTTTTGGCCTTGATTCCATTGTTTTTAGTTGTGTCTGTTACATCTGTTTTATATGCACGTAACTGGGTATGGGGTAGGGTTGAAGTTTTCCCATTGAATCAGCTTTCTAATTCTAAAATGTGGTTTTTGAATATTGCAGCTTGTTTTTTCATCATCAGCAACTGTTTACGGTTGGCCAAAGGAGGTTCCGTGTACAGAGGAGTTTCCATTATCTGCAGCAAATCCTTATGGACGGACCAAGGTATATGAAAGGATGAAAAACTTTTGGCATCTGCTTCTTGATTGTGACCCCCAAATGCCTATTTAATTTGTTCAAATATTCTCTTATCGAGTTTTTTCTTCTACGGTTACCATCTAAAATGGTTGATCCTTTCACTTACCAAAAAAAGATTGTTGATCCTTTCAGCTCTTCATTGAAGAAATATGCCGTGATGTCTACCTCTCGGACTCAGAATGGAAAATTATATTGCTTCGATACTTCAATCCAGTTGGTGCACATCCTAGTGGCTACATTGGCGAGGATCCCCATGGTACACCAAACAATCTCATGCCCTTTATTCAGCAAGTTGCTGTTGGCAGGCGATCTGCATTGACAGTTTTTGGAAGTGACTATGCAACAAGTGATGGTACAGGGGTATGCCTTCATTATAAGCAATTCTCTGTTTGTCTATTGTGCAGTGCAATTTCAAAATTTATTGCAAGTACCCATTATCTTCTCTATTTATAATGAATCTTCTAGTATTATTTATATATAATACATCATGCAAAAAGGTGTCTAGGTTTTACTGCCGACGCATTCTGGATGTCACTAGTGCACTATGTCCCATTTTTCTTGAGGCATTTGTATTTTAACGAAGTGTGTTGGAGCATAGGCCAAATATCAAAAGAAGAATGTTCAAGAAGTTGTAATGACTGCGTTTACTTGTCATCATGAACTGGGATGGTCCATTAACTGCATGGTTCTTCCATTTTATCTTTATTGATATTTTATATAGGTTTAAGTTCAAATGAATTTTTATTTCTATGGTTTTTATGATTTCTTTTTCTTTTAATACGATTATACCTAAGATTTAGGGTCTTACCGATATAGATATTGTATTCTTTCCTCAGTATTCTGCTTTCCATTAAGCTTTTATTTTGACGTTATTTATCCTTATCCTTTCCAATTTTCAGGTACGTGATTTTGTTCATGTTATGGATTTAGCAGATGGACATATTGCTGCATTGTGCAAGCTATCTGATCCTTCCGTAGGTATACCATCCCAGATTCTTATGTTTTTTTGTTTTCAGTGTCCATCTCCGGGAATGAGTTTATCTAGTTTCTATTAATCTATGGAAATAATAACCAATTTGCTTACATATCTTGTTTAGATCTTGATTAGATGCATGAAAGAGCCAGTTTTTGTGCTTCTATATTTGAAGCATATAATGCTTGAAATGCTTACAGTCAAGGAAATGTAGAACATTTTACTTATTTGACTATGGACAACAATGCAGTAGATGTATGAGAGACTGCTCAACTTATGTAAGCATATTTCACTAATGTATAAAATACTTGAAGATAAGGATCTGTTATAAGTCACTGGAACATTATATGAGCTTAAATTTTAAATTTTGACAAGAAAATTAGATGCATTTTGATGGCTGTTGCTAGATAACTGCGTAAGTTTGACTTAATAGGGTTGATGCGTGGGAGAATTTGCATTGGCCTGGCCTTTACAAATGATTTAGGTTGGGAATTTTTTATATCAGTTGGGTTTTATTAATTAATCTCAAAGGATCCTTGTTCATTAGATGTAATATAGCATATACACTGGCAGTAAACCTACAGGCACCCTCTTTACTCACTTGGTGAAAGATAGGACAGAAAGTACGATTAGGACAGTGGCAAGCATTAATACCCTCTTTAACAACATGATTCTGATGACATACACAACTGCAGGCTGTGAAGTGTACAACTTGGGAACTGGAAAAGGAACAACGGTTTTGGAAATGGTAGCAGCATTTGAGAAGGCATCTGGAAAGGTATGCATCTTTTGAAGTCTGTATTTAGTTTTCTTATGTCAGAAGTTTTAGAAATTGATTTAGTTTATCCTGGGAAATTTTTGCTTGGTCTACACATATATATAGTTTCATCCAATTGGGACAGGATCTGGAATCGGCAAGTCTAGGCAGATCACTAGTGTCCATCCTTGATGTGAGTTTAGATCACATCTTCTCATAATTTGTCCCTGATTCATAAATGAGCAATTAGCAATTGCTTGGAGTATTCGTTTTGAACTTAAATTGTTCAAGTAAGTCACTGTTGTGATATAATTGCTTCAGAGAATTAGGGTGGGTGTGGATTCGATGCCTCACACTTGGAGCAAAACTATTGGAGTTCCTCCGAACTCTTCAATGAGAGGAGTGCTAATTTTCAAATCCCGAACAATGAGAATTTTTTAGATGTGAGGCCTGGTAAGAACCAGACCAAAGAGATATTCTGGTACAGAGTGCATTTTATTAAAATGCTACATCCACCAAAATTCAGCAAAAGCTGTTTTTTCTTCTTCTTTTTTCCCCCTCATTCTAAGAATGATAAGTAAGCACATACCCACACACACTGCGGGCCCCAATAGGGACTTGAATGCTCAACCTCCCATATGGGTAGGAAGTGGAGATACCACTTGAGCCAAATGCTTGGTGGTAACTATTGGATTATCAAGCACCAGACCCTTAAGGCTCTGGCGGGCTATTCCTAGCTGTTCTCATAAATTGTTGTCTTTCTTACCATATGCTTGTTTCAGAAAATTCCTCTGGTTATGGCTGGGCGGAGACCTGGTGATGCAGAGGTTGTATATGCATCAACAGCCAAAGCAGAGCGCGAGCTGAAATGGAAGTAAGTGTTTACACGCAATTCATTATTTAGATAATTTTAACCAATACTTGCTTGAGCAAATAAATCTCTGACCGATGACCCTTTGAGCTTGCTGTTTGGAGATCGGTCTCATTCAGTCATGCTACAACTCTTGGAGTTGAAATTATGGTTGTTTAGTGTTTGGTGTCATTTCTTGAACTTAATGACAGAATAATAACCAATGCTGTTAGAATTATACAATGATGGCTGTTTCTGCTAACTTCCTATTTGATTCTCAGTGTTTTCTTATGTTATTATATTAGTCTATTTCAATAGCACATTGAAATATGATATTCTTGAAATTAGTAGTTGAAAAGATTGAAAAATGGAAAGTACTATGTTTTTCATACTCCTAACAATGTAGGTAAGTTCTCCCTCAATTATTTTGAAAAGTGATCTCTTATGAGAGCCTTTAATGGAATTACGAAAAGAGCAATGATGCATCTTTTGAATTTGGCGGATGTTGAACATGGAATATGTATGTAAGTGGGGGTCTGGCCCCACCATATGATGTCGGGTGATCTCATGTGACGGAGTCCACACCCTTATATCTGCCAATATTGAAAGATCTATCATTTTTGCTACGAAAAATTTAATAACAACGATTAGTCAAATTTACTTCGTGTGATGTGATTGCATAATATGTGGTATCTTCACAGGGCAAAATACGGCATTGATGAGATGTCTCGTGATCAATGGAACTGGGCTAGCAAGAACCCTTATGGCTATGGATCTCCAAAATCTGGGGCTTCACTGATTGCGCATATTTAGAACCTGATTATTTTTACTTTTAATGTCACTTTCATTCATTTTAGGGTTTTATTCTAGTTTCTAGAACAAATTTAAGTTCCATTTCACACAGAGGTAGTATTCTAGTTACATTTAGAATGGTATTATTTTTGGTAAATATGTTATTATGGACTTCTCAATAAAAGTGCCAACTTTTCAGAATATATATATATATATATATATATATGAGTTTCCACTGATTTGATAACCAATGTGTTGGTCTGTATTATAAGTTTTCGTATTTGTTCTGCTAACTACCATTTCATTTGATACCTTTACTGTGCTGTAACTAATCTCTGCTGTAGATACACTTACATCCAATTTTTATTTTCAATACTTTAATTTTAGATTTTTCGAACACATTGGTTCTAAAACAAATGTGTTAAAAGTTGAAATTTCTTTTCAAAATTATTATTTCTAATTTCAACTCACTTAAATCTTATTTAAATACATTTAAAAATTTTATTTTTGTTAAGAAACACATTTCTGCTGTGTGGCATAAATTAAAATTATAAATACTTGAATTGCTTGACCTGACGGAGAATAAGATTAAATTGCTCAAAAAATGAATTCCCAGCAGACTAATGAATTGTTAGTACAGCCCAACAGTCAACACATGCACATACAGTAACGAATATATAATTGCTATTTTCAAAGATCCGAGAAGGCAAAAGTCAAAGAAAGAGATTGATTTACTCGAATTCCCAGACTTGATGAAACATGTGGGGTCCCCATTGAGCGGCAACATGTGGTCCCCATCGAGCACCGCAAAGCGCTTCAAAATTCGAGCCATTTACTATTTTATTTATTTCTATTTTGCTTTCTTTCTTCTCCGTAACTTTTTTTCTTTTACTTTACATCAAAATGTCTCAAATTATTTTGCTAAAACCATTTTCTTTTACAAAATTAATGAGATTACAGATGAATTGTTCGTGAATGCTTTTTAGAATGGATTTGTTAAAAAAAATTAATTTTGTTTTGTTTGTTAAATATATGCCAGAAATTTTAAGTCCCAATTAGAGAGTTCAATTATACTCATGTAAAAGGAATGTGAATGAATTTTTTTGTTATTGAAAAAAAAAAAAAAAAAAAACATTTAAATACACAGTTTTTATATCAGAAAGTAAAAGTTATGATTTGCAATTGCCGACCGATGTGTGGATATACATTAAGCCAAAAATATAAAAACAGCAATTACAATAAAATAATACTAATTCGAGTCCTCCTTCATTTAAAGTACTTGATTCATTAAAAATTGATGGAGGCTTTTATAATTTTCCATTTAAATAACATTAATCAATTCGTGAAGAAAAATGACACTTACAGTAAATTACTAAATTTACACTTTTAATTAATTAATTATACAACAAATAAGAAAATAGAACCACTTAATTATATTTAATATAAATAATTAATTAAAAATTATTTAATTAGGCACTTCACTGTAAATATTCAGTAAAATATCATTAGTCATTCAGGAATACAAGGAAGACAAGTTTGAACCATGCAACAAAAATCTCTCACTAGCTTACAAGGCTTGAGCATTTTATAGGCAACTCGAGATCAGTTTTCCAAACTCATTACAATTCCAATGATAGTGAATATTCTCAACCATATCACATGATTGCAAAGCTTTATTTATTACCGGACTAATTTATTATTTTATTTCTTAAAGCATATACCTAACCACAGTAGCAACAGACTGAGAATAATGGTGATCAGTAAAGAGTGTGTAAAACGGTGTGGTAACTCGTAACGAATTGTATCATAGTGAATTTTCAATCGAAAATGAAAAGTGTGCATAAATAAGCTCCTCAAGGACAAGTTTAATGAGGACGTTGAGCCCCAAACGAGGTACTAAGCAGGCAAATCTACATGGTGTGAAGGGGTCAGGACCGATGGTATGTAGACAAATCGTGATAAATGGTATGAACTAATTTTTAGCAAAAATGAGAGTGCAGATACAAACTGATGAAGGTAACGCCGGCGAGAACGAGTCCTTAAAAAAGAGTGATTGTAACATCTCACATCAATGGAGAGGAGACATCTCTGATGACACTGGTAGGTGTGTGGACACGGCCTGTGACGTGATCCTCATGATTTGCAAGCTCTCCCATTTTTGGGTAAAGGCGAATCTAAGAATTGTTAATGGGGGGTTAATATTAAACAAGAGGGAATTGGGGATCGAAAAATTAAAGAGTTATAAAATTTTAGAAAAAATAAGGTTAAACTTTAGAAGGAAAGAAGGAGTGCGCTTTCTGATTTGTGCAAGATTAAGAATTTAGGAGTTCTTTGTGTTTTAGGTTAGTGATTGTTTAGGGCTAATTTGACTTGGGCCTATTTGGTTGAGTCTTTGTTTTAAAATTGTAACTTAGATTTTGGGCTAGTTTGACTTGGGCCTATTTGGTTGAACTTTTGTTTTAAAATTGTAACTTAGATATTGAACTTGTTTGGATGGGTTAAAATTGAGAGACTAATGCACTACTATTGATTTTTTCTTTTTTAAAACATTAGGCTAAATATACCTATACTAAAAAAAAAATCCAACCAAGCCCCCTCGGGATCCGCCACTGTTTTTGGGGGTTGTTGTAATTTTCATGAAAGAACCAAAGAGAAACCCAAAAGGCCAAAAATTTATATATATGCTGCTACTATAGTTTCTATATATATATTTCATTATATGATATAATATTTATTTATTTTTATTCTTTACAATTTAGTATGTAGCATATGTTAAAACTTTTAAGGATATGTTTGGATTGAGAGATTTGGAGAGATAGTGAAACAAAAGAAAAGAAAAGAAATGATAGTGTAAATTGTGTTTAGGTTTGGTTAAAATGAGAGAAAATAAAGGATAGAGAGGGATGACTATCCTTCATTATTCCTCATTTTCTATCTCTAAAAAACTGAGAAGATAGGGAAAGAAAAGATAGTATTTAAGTAATATTTTTATAATTTAGAAACTACCCTCAACAATTAAAAGGAGTAAATTATTATTCCATTCATATCTCATCTATTTTAAAGGACATGATAGTAATTAGATTGTTATTATTTCTCTTTTTTCTCCCCTCTATTATATCCAAACAAAAATACTATTATTTTTTTTTTCCTAATACTACAATTTCTCTTCTTTTCTTTTCTATCTATTCAAACATAAATAGAGATTATTGGTATCCTTTATTTTATTTTCTCTTATAACTAATAATATCATGCTATGTTTTGTGTGTAAGAATGAAATATAATGCAAGTTGAAATGGAATGAGAATGGGAATGGAATGGCCATTCTTATTCTATTGTTTGGTTATAAATATGAAATATATAGGATTGAAATGATAATAACTATTATATTGTTTGGTTGGACTAATTTAAAATTTAGAATGAAATAAATTTCAAATTAAGTTCATCAAAATATCCCTCTTAATAACAAATAAATTAAATTAACAAAATGACATTTTTGTATAATTTTTTTAAAAAATAAATGGTGACAGTGGCGGTGGTGGATGGTGGTAACTATGGTAGTGGAGGTGGTGGTGTTGGAAGAATGCGGTGGTGGCAGTGGTGGAAGGAAGCAGGGGTGGTGGCAATGGTGGAAGGCAGTGACGGCGGTGGTGGTGGAAGGCGGTAGCAATAGTGTGATGGTGGTAGTGGAACGAGATAGTAGTGTAGGTGACAGTGGTGAAACCAATATAAGCGATTGTGGTGGTAGTGGAAGGTAGTGGAGGTGATGGTGGTGGAAGGGGTGGCAGTGGATGGTGGCGATGGTGGAGGGTGGTGGCGATGGTGGAGGGTGGTAGCGATGGTGGTTGTAAAAGACGGTGGCAGTGGCAATGGTGGTAGTGAAAGGAGGTGGTGGAAGGCGGTGATAGTGGTGATGGTTGTGGAAGGTGGTGACAGTGGTGGTGGTGAAAGACGGTGGCAATGGTGATAGGCGGCGGCTGTGGTGGTGATGGTTGTGGAAGGTGGTGACGGTGACGGTGGTGGTGGTGGAGACGATGGCAGTGGTGATAGGCGGTGGAAATCAGTGGTGATGGTGGTGGAAATCAGTGTTACTGGTGATGAAAGGCGAAGGTAGTTGTGGTGGAAAGTAGTGGTGAGTTTTGTACTTAATATATGAAGTTTTTTTTGGGAAATTGATTTTTTAGAAGGCAGCGGTGGGTTTTTGACTTAAAATATGAAGTTTTTTGAAAAGTAAATTTTTTAAGAAAAATTACTTAAGAATGAAATAGTCATTCCATAGGTTTAGTTATGGAATGAATTTTCATTTTAATAGAATAAGTATTGCCACTTTAAATTACAGACCAAATAGTTGAAGTGACATTCAATTCCTGCACCAAACACAACATCATTTTTATTATTTTCTCTCCTTAATATCCGAACAAAGTCTTACTTTTATTTGTAATATTTATAAGTGATTTTTAACCACTTGCATAAGACGGGTAATTCAACAGTTCTACTCGTATGTGTACACTGTACGCGTAGATGCAACTTTCACACTCATATGTCAAGCATTACTCTGAATACAATCAATATTTTAACATTTGTTCACAAATAATCAAATCTGAGCATTCAAAATGACGTAATCACTAAAAATCCTAAAAATCAGTTTTTTTTTTTTTAGCAAAAAAAAAAAAGAGAGAAAACAACAAACATTCAAAGTAACACAGATCCATCATCACTCACAGCAATGGCGACGACCCTACAACCAAGCTTTAGCTTCCACATATACAAAGCCTTACCCTTCTTCAACCAGCTTTAATTAGCTTCCCACGCACACACTAAAAAAAATCAGCTTTAGCTTCCTCATATACAAAGCATTACCCTTCTTCAACCAGCTTTAATTAGCTTCCCACACACACTATTTTCAAACAGACTAAAAAATATCAAGCATTACTCTTAAAAAAATCAGTTCTTTTTTACACTTTCTTCACCATATATGGGCATCCAAATTCAACACCCAAATCACCAAAAATCCTAAAAATTAAATATAAAAAAAAAAAAAAAAAATGCTAACAATGAAAACCCAACACAGATCCATCACTTACAGCAATGGAGACCCTACAACTAGCTTTAGCTTCAACATTATGCGTGAACAAATGCAGAAGTCTAACCCGACCCGCCATGTACAACCTCGACTCTATCTCCATCGATGGTCCGACCCTGATCCCGTTCAGCCCATCAGTGATCGTCGGTCCCACATTCTCCGGCGCCGCCGCCGACGACAGCGGGAAAGACTTGACGGAGAAGGTCGCCGCCATGTACTGAGTCCGCCCGGCGTCGATCTTGCCGGCGGGGACGAACATGAATCCCACCTGGCTGCCGGAGTACAGCAGCTGCAGTGTGCTGTCGAAGTGCGTGAACACGGCCCGGTTGGGGTTGTTGACGGAGGCGTACTGAGAGAAGGTGAAGTTAACGGTGCCGTTAGCGATGGAGAAGGTGGGGAGCTGGACAGCGTTAATGGTGATCTTCGGGTCCTTGGGCTTGAATACGGTGAAGAACACGATAAGGATCACAATGACCACGAAAATCAAGAAGATCGTGGCCACGATGCATGATGCGAGATTTGTACGGCCAGATGGTGGTTTGTGTGGTTTCCCCATTTCTGATCTCAATGCCTAGAATTTAGAGAGAGAAAACGTAAGTTTAGAGAGAGAGAGAGAGGCAGCAGTGTTTGGATGCGGTGTTGGGGGTATATAATAAGGCGAGGGAAAAAGCTGCAGAGTGTAGTGTGGGGGCGGAAAGAGAAAAAAGGGGTGTGTTTGGTTTGGACAAATGTGTGAAAGGAAAGACTTCTTTCCTGGCTTTGGGTAATTCTTGTCTTTAATGTAGTTTTTTCTGTTTTGCTCTTTTACTTTTTAGTTTTTTTTTTTTTTTTGGGTACTCTTATCCTCACAAATATGTGCTTTTGCTAAAGTATCTAGAGGCGTAATCATAGAATGGAATGATGGGCCCTTCTTTTTCTTTTCTTTTTTTTATTTTATTTTTTTCATAGTTATTACTCACACACGTCTATTGAGACTCGAATCCCTAATCTTAAAAAATAAGAGACTGATATTGTTAGTTCACTGAAAGTTTTTTTTTTTAAAAAAAAAAACTAGAAAAAAAAAAAAAAATTGGAATGTATTAATATTCATCCTTAATGATATGTCTGGTTGGAGGGATGGATGGGAGGAGGGATGGATGAATGTTTTTATGTTTGGTTGGAGGGAAGGGAAGAGAGGGAGGAAGTAAGGAAGGATGCTTCATCCCTCTTTGCTATACATTTTCCTATCCGCCCAAATTTTGGGGAAGAGTGAAGAGAAAAAATGATAACTACCAAAATTTGTTATAATTTCTATTTTTATCCTTCCTAAAAATTGGTTAAAACCCTGTTTGTGTTATGTTAAACAACTAAAGTGATTATTAAATAAATTTAAATTAATTAATTGTTTGGTATGTGAAAAAATAATAATAATAAAATAAAATAAAATAAAAATTATTTGGTATGTAAGTATAAAACATTCATTTTAGACAACTTGTTAGTAGCGCTCAATATTATTAAATAATTTTAAACTAATTAATTTTATAACTTTATATAGTAAGGGTATATTACTAAAAAAATATATAAAAATTATCATTTTCTTCCTTCCAACCAAACAAAAAAAAACTAGCACTCCATCAATCCTTTTTGTCTTCCCTTCCATTTAACCAAACAAAAAATAAAGGAGACACTTTCCCTTCCTTAGGGATGACTCATCCATCCCTCCCCCTTTCCCTTCCATCCATTTTTTCATCCCTCCAACCAAACAGAGTATAATGGTCAGTTTGGTGTAATGGAAAAGGGAGGAAAGGAGAGGGAAGGTGATGGAAGGTGATTAAAAAAGTGTGTTTAGCAAAAATGGTGGGAAGGAAAGGTGATGGAGGGTGATTAAAAAAGTGTGTTTAGCAAAAATGGTGGGAAGGGAAGGGAAGGGATGATTTTGGAGGGTTATCAATATGTTTGAATAGTAATTTCTTATCCTCCCAAAAATGGGAGGAAATGGAAGAAAAAGGAAGGGAAGGCCTGCTGATGAATTTATCCTTATACAAAATCAAGATTACACTAGATTGAAAGGATTTAATTTGCAAAAGAAGAATTACAAAACTGGATTAGTTGGCAGTTGGAGAGAGAGAGTGAGATAAGCAAAGAGACATGGCCTCAACTAGGGTTTTCGCGAAGGGTTGCAGAGCTCTTATGGCAATCGCCAAAAGTTCCGAATTGGAGCTTGTGAACAGCGGCTAAAGCTTGCGAACAGCGAACCCGAACTAGAACAGCGGGTGTTGGAAACTGAAAGATATGGGTTTTGATTTTTTGAACAATCTGAAATGATATGCCGATATGGGTTTTGATTTTGTAGTTTGCAGTTGCAGAGAGAGAGAGAGAGGGCAAATGCAGAGTTGAGAACAAGAATAGAGATGGAGGCAGATGCTAAAATGATTTGCCCTAAATATATATATATATATATATATATATATATCAATTTATGTTTTATATTTATAAAATATAAAAGGGTATAATAGTAAATTTATATAAATAGTTTATTTTCCTTTCTTTTCTCAAATATGATTATTATTCTTCACTTTCTTTTCCTTTATTAATTAACCAAATATGATTGAGGGTTAAAATTATCATTCCATTCCATTCCCCTCTCCTCTCCTCCCCTCATAACTAATGTTATCCTTTCTCTTCATTCCCACTGTACCAAACATAGCCTAAAAGGGATATGGTAGGCTTGGTAGCCAATTGATTGAAAATTGAAGGGATCTTTATAGCCTAATTATTCAGAGACTTATAACTCTTAATTGGAGTTGAGTTTGTTGTAATCATATTAAAAAAAAAGTAGGTTGCAAATAAATAAGGAGGAATAATAAAAAACCATAAGTGGGTGTCAACAACTATGCAACCCATTATAGATGGAACATTGCAACACAATATAATATATTGCAATAAGTGTATATTTTTATTGTAAATGTGTTGCATAATTTTTAATTTTTTTTTACATAAATATTACATTTTGGACCAAGCCTGAGTAGTGGGGCTTAAATGTTTCTTGTGAGTGTCAGCTTAGTCCCAATTGGGACCTAGTATCACTACTCAAAAGAATTAGTAAGCCTAAGCCAAGACAAAACAATTCTCAGCTGTCAAATTCAAATGGATTATTGAAGAATTAAATGGAGTAGTGCTATGTTTGGTAATACCTGGTGATTTAGATTTAGAATTTGAAAATATTTAGTTAAAATTTTAATCTAAAGTTGTTTCAATATATGCAGATTTGATATTCCAAACGTAATATAAGTGAATTTATTTTTATCTCATTAGCAATGATCTTGGAGGTAAGACACTTTGGGTATTGTAGACTTTCTTAATATTGTGACAGGTAATTTAGTGCTATAAACATGATGATGATTGATGACATATAAAGACATATTTTCCCTTTAATAGGACAGTTGATGATTCCAATTTTAGACTCAATTACAGATGGAAAAAAACTACTCCATTGTCGAACTGAGAAAAAAATAGTTGATGATTCCAATTTTAGACTCAATCACACAAGGGAAAAACTACTACATTGTTGAACTGAGAAAAAACAGCTGATGATTCCAATTTTTAGACAAAGCTATTCCATTGTGGAACTGAGAAAAAAATTACATAATGCACTCATTTATTAGAGTGTTTCACGATGACTAACTAGTCAGTAGTTCCTCAATATTCTTGTTTATGCATAGTAAAACTTTAAAAACATTCGCTATTAAATAAAAAGAATTTCAATGCATTTGAACAAAGGACAATCCTCATTTGGGTGGGCATGCATTGTCCCAATCAGACCTCTTTACACAAAACAATACATTTTAAAATATGAAGGAGAAACAAACCAAGTTAGCTAGAATAACTATTGTGATTGGTTAAATGAGTTAGATCCTCGATCCACGGTTGAATGGGTAAATTCTTCTTTCCTACTCACGAGTGAAATATACAGTTTTATTGGTTCCTCGCTACGTTCGAGCTAGGTTCTCTGGTTTGCAGAGGTTCTAGCTCTTGCTTCTGTCGAGATTTGGGAGCTTGTTTCCCCTTTGTGTCTTCTTTGTTTTCTCATCTTGGTTTTGGGTTTAACATCATGGGGAAAATGTGTTAAACTAGGGGTTCAGCCCAGCTACTTTGTGGCATATCTCTTCTAAAGTTATGGTGGTTTTATGTCACGTGGTTAATACGTGTCTCCATCACGCAGAGGTTAAAAAGTACGCCAACATGTTTCTTCTGGGTCGCAAGAGACGAAAGCTGTTGGTGGAAAGAAGTTAAAGGCCGTTGTGGCAGGGTTTAATGCATCTGGAGCCGATGGGGAATGTAAGGCAGCACACTTATCTCTCTAATTCGAATGGTAGTCTTTGTAGTGCTGCACTCTGTACTGAATCCTCTCGTTTTACTTTGTACGCTAGCAAAGATTGTGGGGGACTAGTCAACCCTGGCTCCTGACTAAGTAGTGATCGATGGTGGGGGTTTACTATCAGATTTGGGAGGGCTTGGTAGTTTTTGCAGGTTTGACTATAAATCCTCCTCATCTTTACTTTGTGGTTATAATGGTGGGTTGTCTAGATTCTAGTTAGTTGTTCGTTTTGTTTATGGGATATATATCTTAGCCGTAAGCGTAGAAATCTGTGGAAGTTTTGTGTTTGGGTTGTGAAGGTTGTAACCACAAAGGTTATTTTTTCTTGAATTATGAAAATAAAAAAATTTGTTCTTTGTAAGTACCATTCGGCTGTTTCAATTTGCCAAGAAAAAACAAAATTCCTCCACGGTTAGAGGAAAGGTGAAGATCAGTTCATACGAAATGTGGTCTCCATAGATAAAGTAAACATTGCCTTCTCTAAAATAATCTCCACCCTCCTCTTCTGCACAAAATATCAGTCTTTGATGTTATCATTGTCGGGGTTTGGTTTCCTAAATAATTGGGATTTGGTTCTAAAACATCAATTTTGCATAAATGGTCAGTCTTTCATACTTAAATGACACTACTAAAAAAAACCTCCTTCAACAAATAGCCCTTTGCATTCACTACTTAATATTTTTAAGGGTAAAGTGCAAAAAAAAAAAAAAAAAAAAAAAAATCCATAAACTTTCTTCTCTTTCCTAAGAAACCCCCCTGAACTATTATTTTGACACATAACCCCCTAAATTATCTCAATTTTTGCAAAAACCAACAAATCGTTAAAGTGCCGTTTGAAATTTAACTTGAAAGAAGAGAAATTTTTTTAAAAGACAAAAATAATACTAACATGACATATATATGATTTAAAACCTAAAATCCCAATTCAGCAACAAACCCTGCCCACTCCCGTTAACATAACTCTCTTTCTCCGTTAACATAATTCTCACTTTCCCTCTCTCTATTGTGTGTGTTGGTTCTAAGTTTGAGGTTTTAGAAGATGAAGAGTGAGGTGGTGTATATAGATAAGGGACAACTAACAGTAGGTGGCCCTTTTAATTTCATACCCAAAACATGGAAAAGTCTGTGTGTGATACCTCCAGATTTTAGAATGCGGGTTGGCCAGGCCACACCCGAATACCTAAGGAAATCGAAAACAAATCGGCAATAAACGAACACATAATACAAATTGATAAAATGCTGAATTGAAAACTAAATGATAATCCAATAATTAAATCTTTAGAATAAATTTATATTAATAAATAATTTCTTCTGATACAACTAATCTTCCAAATAATACAACTCGGGAATCCAAACTATGTGGAACCCTAGAAAATCCAAACTGAATAAGTGACAGCAATAACTGTCTACAATTGAATAAAGAAAAATAAAAGAAACTCCTATGTAGAAACGGAAGAATGAAGTAGACTAGTCTCTGCTCAGCACGAACCATCTCTACACCAATAAGTTATACTCTACTACAGTCCAAACAAAGATTCGATATACGTATACATCCTAATCAATCCAACAATAACTACATAATCTGGGGTATATAACGATCCATTATATCTAGGTAGTCATCCCATGCAATATACACACCCTAACCACTGATCCTGAGACTCAAACTCATTTCAGGGTATATAACTATATATATATATATATATATAATCTGTCTTATCCAAAGTATAAAATAAATATCCAGTATGTCATCCAACTGATTCAGTTAACCTGATATGAAAATATGTAGGATTTAACGTTTTAGTTAATTCATTCCGTTATACATGAATAGGTAGGATTTAACGTTTTTAGTTAATCCGTCCCTAATATATATGCCACCATCCCTTACTAGTGCATATAATGTATACAATCCATAAATGATACAACAGTTATAATATCACACTAAATAAATCCAAAAATAAACATAATAGAAATCAGATATATTCATGATCACATTATGCAACCAATATATGATTTTAAAATCATATAACCTCCATTTAACTTGTTAGAATAGTTTTAAACAATTAAATCATCCACCGTCAATATGCAAATTTAATTTAAAATTTCATACCGATTAATCTTTAGACACAATCAATGATTATATTATACTGCTACTATATGATAAAAATCATCCAACACCCATTTAAATTGCTAGAATAATTTTCAACAATTAGAACATCCATTAACAACATGCAAATTTAACTAAAATTTCATATTATTCAATTCCTTAGCACATTAACATAGATTATGCATTGTGGGTATTTAACATATACATCGTAGTCATTTAAAAACCCCATTACAGTCTAAGCAACCTTAGAAAATCCCAAAATCCAAAATAGAACCAAAAATACACTTTTTGCAGTGTTCCTATCACGAGAGCATGCTCCCAAATCAATGGAGTAGGCTCTATCCATGTGGGAGCCAGCTCTTGGCCTGAGGGAGCCGGCTCCCTTCACCATGAAGCCGGTTCTCTCCCTGAGAGTCGTCAAAAAAACATTAGGGAGCCGACTCCATGCCCTTGGGAGCCGGTTCTCGACCTGCTATGCTCTTTCTTCTTCATCTCTGGCGTCATCTGGTCATTCCGATCACCATTGTTAAAGCTCCTAAACATTTATTCTAAGTCCCAGACTCTTCCCATTAATTTTATACAGTCCTTATGCATCTTTTACGCAAATTAAAACAAGTTTATATGCAAGAATATCAAGATCAAGCAATTACAATTAGAAACATATAAATTCAGTTTTAATTCTAATTAAGCATGCATAAAAGATCCAATTAATATCTAGTTAATCCTAGAATCAACTTAGGCATGTATGGAATATAAATCTAAGGGAAAGAGTAGAAGCAAAATTTGCTTTAAGGGTTTGAATAAACCCCACTCTTTCTTCTCCGGCAGAAACCTCAACGCCAACAGCCTCTGGATGTTGTCGTCGTCCTCTGTAGGTCTGGTCTTAACCTACTCGCACCCTCTTTCCTTCTTCCTCCTTGGTTCAGCCCTCTTGGCCGAAACCCTCTCCCTCCCTTCCTCATGTTCTCTCTATAAAGCTCTTTTTCTTGCCTCCATATTATATTTATCTATCACGTAAATAAAATCTCAACCTCCCACAAACTCTATAATAGTATATATATATAGCCCATGTAACCCTAGTCCTAATTATAACCTAAGTCAGTTTATAAGGAAAACAATAAAAGAAAAAAGCAATAATATACAAATGTAACTAATTATATACGTTTATACATAAACTTATATATATATATCCATTAATATATATATATATATATTTATATTTATAAATAGATATATATATATATATATATATATATATATATAATTGAATCCTCCTTATTATTATTAATAAAAAAATAATAATAATAACCTCCATATATATATATACACATCTATATATATATATATATATATTAACATACTAATTACTCATGTGTCATAATCCTTACCCATTTAAGCTTCATCCAAGTAGTCCGTGTGACCCATTTATTTGTTCCATTACTACTATCCAAATCCCTTCCTTTTAAAAATATAAAATAACATTTAAATTAATATATAACTATTCATCATCAAACAACACTTAAACAAATAAATATAACCAAACAAGCACATCAATAAAGCAAGTACATCAGATAACAATTTAATTCAAATAAACCATTTAAGCACACACAATTTAAATTAAACAACTAAGTCAATTAAATATATAACAATTAGCCAAATAATCAATTAATCAAATAAAAATTAATGCAATTAAAATAATTAAATAAATACCGAGACTATCTTTTTAAAATTAGGGGCATTACACTTATCTCATATGTTCACACATCCATCACCAATATATGTATTGGTTCAACAATTCAAAGTATCAGCTTATCCATATAGTAGTATTGAACACCCAAGAAACTAATATATATATATATAACACATATAAAGAGAAGGGTGAATGCTGCGTGATTTGGGTGAATCTGTTTTGTGAGAGACAATATAAGGTAAGTACTCAATCTTTGGTGAATATGATGATGGTGGCTGCCATTCCTGAAGCAGCTTCAAATGACCCACAAAAACCCAAAACCACCTCACAAGATACAAACCAATAAAAGAGAATGTGGGGGTATTGCTGGATGGTAGAACTGATACAAATCCATGCACCTAAAAAAGTGAGGTTTGTACCTTAAGCTTGATAAAAGTGTATTGAAACCAAAATTGCTGGGATGGTTTGATCCAGCCATAGCCAAAGATCGATGGAACTGTGGAGTAATCCCCACTGTCAAGGAAGTAGAGATTGAGAAGTGATTTATTTACAAAATTGGAACCGTGGACCCCGTGGACTTTCGGATTGTAGTTTCCAAACCCATCAATGATGTGGGTGTCGAGAGGATTGAACTGAGACAAGGTGTGGTTCATGCCAACAATATATTTCATGACACCTTCCCTTAAGAGGGTGGATTCTTGGTCATGGTTTCCCAGAACAGCAGCCCATGGGATTTTAGACAATGTTGCAGGAGCAAATGCAGCATCCATGGATTTGGCTGGATCCGTTGCATTAAACTTGAAGATGTTATCCCTTGTATTCGGTAAATACCCATACATGTCAACTACGTATACATTGATTCATGCGGATGCATAAAGTCCTCTGGAAGGATTATATTTGACGATTAGTAGGCATACTGATGAGCGTTGAAAAGTGCGCATTTAAACCCCTTAAGCAAGGGTATTTTAGTCCATCCATCTATCTTTATTTACCCGTTTTAGTACTTATTTGTATTTTTGTCTATTTCAGGTCAATAAAGCTAAAACGAGTTAAAAATGGTTTCTTAAGGCCTTTTTGGAGTCAAACTAAGTCTTGGTGATGATTTGGAACAAAAGGAAGATGATTTGGAGCAAAAAGAGGCTAATGCTGAAAAACTGTCAAGTTGGATCGATCCAACTTTTTCTGAGATCGATCGCTTTTTCTGAGATCGATCGAAGTTGGATCGATCGAAAATAAAAGTTGGATCGATCGAACTTTTTTCTGATCGATCGAAGAAAAAGTCTAATCGATTGAACTTTTGCTGGCAGCGAGCTGTTTTATTCTCGTGCGCGCCCGAACTCCCACCTACCACATGGTACGGGATTAGATATTTTTGGGGCTATATTTCTTACTTAGTGGCTAAGAAAATGACGTTCTATATAAAGGGAAGTGACCTATTTTGTAAAAAAGTTTTTTATTATTTTACTTTTACATTGTATTTTCTATATTCTCTTTAGTTTCTCTCTCTAGAAAGTTAGAGATTAGGGTTAGAAGAAAAGAGGGAAGTGGAGGCATATCTCAAGATCCATCTCTAGATCCACTCTCTCTCTCTCTCTAGAGCTTCAAAGAAGAAGAGGAAGAAGAAGATGGAGCCATGTTTGGAGCTCACCCTTGAGGGTTTCATGACCACATCTACCTCCTCCATGATTGGCTAGATCTACACTTAGGGCTTGGATGAGCCCTAAGTCTTGTGTAATTTAAATCCTTGTATTTCTATTTTTGGGGATTTAAATATATTGTTGTGATTAGTGTTATAGCCTTGTGAATTTAATAAATCTTGGTATATTTTTATGATTTCTATGGTTTAATTCTTCCTATTAATTCTCTAGTTTATTTACATGTCTATGTGTGATTAAATTAGGAAATTATGTCTCACGTGATTCATATGGTTTAATTCTTCCTAATTTTTTTCTTTGTGATTACATGTTGCTCTACCCTAGTTTTTCTACATTAATTGCATGTCTATGTGTGGTTGATTGAGAATCTAGTGATGATTAGACATGGTTTTTATTAGATGGGTTTGTTAATTAATTTGATGGATTATTCTTATAGTTGATGGGTTGTTCTATAATTTAATTCATGCTTATAGGTAGGTAGACAATCTTTGCTTGCTTTGATATTCCATGGCTTATTATTGCAAATTCCATGATTCTCTAGATTGATGTGTGCTACAATTGTGAGTAGTTTGATGGATCATGCTTAGAATTGATGGGTTGTGCTACACGTAGTTTAAGTAGACAATTCATACCTTAATTTGATGGTCTATGCTTAATATTGCAATTGGTAGTCGCATTTTGTTCGCAACAATGTATTCCCTATTAATGGAAAGCAAGTGGTTAATTACATGAACTTAGTGGTGATTCCAACACCCTAAGACCTCTCTTCATATCTCTTAAATCCCTATCTCTCACTAGTTTACTTTTCTTGCATTTTAATTAATTGAATTTTAGTTTAATTCAAACAATCAATCTCTCATTTGCAATCTTGTGATCCATTAGAGTCGAAGTTAATTTCCAACACGTATAATCCCTTAGGATGATCCCTACTCACTTTTGCTACATTAGTAGTAGTGTTGGTAGTGGTTTTTATAAATTTAAATTTGACCTAAAGGCTTTTCTTGAACCGCACATTCACTACATTATTTTGACGTATATCAAGCGGCCTCGTCACATACAGTTGAATTACTACTCGGCTAGTGTAGTCAAAGGCGCGCGGCTAGGTTTTAGGCTCATCATACATAAGCAACACTTGCTCTTGTAATATGGAATATGAATGCTTTGATAGTAATTAAAATTTTAATCATGCACATCGTTATAAAATTAGAAATATATTAATTTTTGTTAAAAATGACTTTTGAATTTCTTGTGTCGAATGCTAACAGTTTTAAATTGCAAATGCAACAGTTACAAAAATATATTAATTTTTTTTGTTTAATTACTTCTTTTGTAACAAAATACTTGTTCACCTTGGGAACTGTGATTCACAACCCAAACTGAATAAGTATTTCATAGTTCCCAAGCTGGACAAGTATTTTGGGACGGATTGTAAATGTGTTGTATAACTTTTAAATTTTCTTTTGTATAAATATTACATTTTATAACATAACTGTGTTGAATTGTGATATAAATGTGGTATACTGATTAAGTTGAGTGGCCTTGGTGCATACATAGTGGGGGTAATATGGGTTCTCAAAGATGATGGCTAGGAGGTTATGTGTAGAGGACTGTTTTGTAGTAATAACTAATCTAAGAACTTAAGGGTCAGTTTGGTGAAATGGAAAAGGGAGGAAAGGGAAGGGAAGGTGATGGAGGGGGATTAAAAATTTGTGTTTGGCAAAAATTATTGGAAGGAAAGTGAAGGAAAGGGAAGGGTTTGGAGGGTTAACACAACGCTTTAACAGTAAATTTCTTAACTTCCCACAAATGGGAGGAAATGAAATGAAAGGGAAGGAGAGGCTTGGTGTGTGATTTCTGATGCCAAATTTGCCCTTGATTATATGTGAATTTAGTTTGTAAAACAAGAATTACAGACCTTGATTAGTTGATTTAACAGTTGCAGAGAGAGAGGGTAGCAAGCTTGAGAGTTGAGAGAAAGAGGGCCAGCAGCTGAAGTTTGCGAACGGCGAACCCGAATTGGAACAACGGGCGATGGAAACTGAAAGATCGATATGGGTTTTGATTTTTTGAACAATCTGAAATTGGGTTTTGATTTTTTGAACAATCTGAAATGATGCCGATATGGGTTTTGAACTTTTGATTCTTGCAGACAAATATATAAACTGAAATATATGGGTTTTGAACTTCTGATTCTTGTAGTAGTTTGCAGTTGCAGAGAGAGAGAGAGAGAGAGGGCAAGTTCAGAGTTGAGAACGAGAATAGAGATGGAGGCTGAAATGATTTGCCCTAAAAAAAAATTTCCTTTTCTGGTGGCTGATGCATGGGCCTTTATATATATATATAAATTTATATTTAAAAATATAAATAGGCATAATAGTAGATTTATTAAAATAATTCTCATTCCTATCCTTCCCTTTCTTTCCCCAAACATGATTATTGTCCTTTCCTTTCTTTTCCATTCAATAATCAACCAAACACGATAGGAGATTAAAATTATCCTTCCCTTCCCTTCCCTTTCCTTTCTCTCATAACTAATGTTATTCTCTCCCTTCAAACCCACCATACTAAACATAGCCTAAATGATGGTTTGAATTTGGACCAAGCCTGAGAAGTGGGACTTAAATGTTTCTTGTGAGTGTCAGCTTGGTCCCAATTGGGACCTAGTATCACTACTCATCTAAGAATTATTAAGCTTAAGCCAAGACAAAACAATTATCAGCTGTCAAATGCAAACGGATAATTGAAGAATTAAATGGAGTAGTGCTATGTTTGGGAGTACCTAGAAGTTTGGATTTAGAATTTGAGAATATTTAGTTAAATTTTTAATCTAAATTTGTTTCAATTTCTGCAAATTTGATATTCCCAAACATAATATAAGTAATTTTTTTTTTGTCTCATTAGCATGACCTTGGACTCTTGGAGGTACGATAATTTGGATATTATAGACTTTCTTGAGATTGTGATGTAGACAATTTAGTGCTATAAGCATGATGATGATTAATGACATATATTGACATATTTTCCCTTTTATAGGGACAATTAATGATTCCAATTTTAGACTCAATCGCAGAAGGAAAAAAACTACTCCATTGTCGAATTGAGAAAAAAACAGTTGATGATTCCAATTTTAGACTCAATTACATAAGGGAAAAAGTACTCCATTGTTGAATTGAGAAAAAAACAGCTGATGATTCCAATTTTTAGACTCAATTAATAAAGGAAAAAATTATTCCATTGTCAAATTGAGAAAAAAATTATATAATGCACTCATTTATTAGTGTGTTTCACGATGACTAACTAGTTAGTAGTTCCTCAATATTCATATTTATGCATAGTAAAACATGAAAATTAGTCGCCATTAAATAAAATGAATTTCAATGCATTTAAACAAAGGACAATCCTCATTTGGGTGGGCATTATCCCAATCACACCTCTTTCCACAAAACAATGCATTCTAAAATATGAAAGAGAAACAAACCAAGTTAGAATAACTATTGCGATTGGTTTAATTAATGAGGTAGATCCTCCACGATTGAATGGGTAAATTCTTCTTTCCTACTCATGAGGGAAATATACACTTTTATAGGTCCCTCGCTACGGTTAAGGTTCTCTGGTTTGCAGAGGTGCTCTTGCTTCTGTCGATATTTGGGAGCTTGTTTCCCCTTTGTGTTTTCTTTATTTTCTCATCTTCGTTTTGGGTTTAATGTCATGGGGAAATAATGGGCTATTGGCTATTGGGGATTTCTTTTTCCTCGGGTTTGTGTTAATCTGTTTGCATTATGGGGGTTTTCCTGTGTCTTTCTTGAAATGGGAGGGGAAAATGGTTTGGGCCTTCCCTTTTCTTGATGTTTCTCTGTCTTGCTTGTATGTAAATGTTCTTGTTGTCTCTGTTTCTTGGCGACGGGTAAAGGTGGTTCTTAACTTCTGATTGGTGAAGATTACTTAGTCTTTCGTTTTCCTTCAACTTGGAAACTTTTTTTCGCGTAGTGGTGGAAGTTTGCTTCACCCTTATGAGCGATTGCATTGGTGGCCTTTTGTGATGGGGGTTGAAGCACAAATGGCTGCTTTGTTCTTCCTGGCAGCGATGGCCTCCATTAAGTATTAATGTTTCTTGGGGTACGTGTAAAACCTGCTACGTATGCTATACCTTTTCTTTGTTGACATCATGGTGAGGTTGGCATTTT